GAAAAGTGCCCCATCATCAGCTAATGGAACTTCACGGCAAACACATCATCTTTTTCCTTAACCCGCCACAGATTGCATATGAAATTCGCAAATTATGCAATTAACCCATTTTCAGCCGAATTGGGGTGCGGGGGGGAGGGCCGCATGAAAGGTAACTCCTGGCAGGGCAACAATCGAGGCGGCGGCTGCCAAGGCAAATGAAGTGTGCCAGTGTGTGTGTGTTTTTTTTTTTTTTTATATTCATATACTTATTTATTTGCTCTATAATATTTACAATTTATATTTATCGGACAAGAGTGTGTTGGGACTAGGGGCCCCGCGGACTGCGGTACTGCCGCAAAGCATTGCTTCGCAGTGGCGTGGACTCCTACTCCGTCTGCTCCTTCCGCCTTCTCTCCAAGGACCTAAGCGTTCGCATCACGCTAGAGGCGAACTCCGCGGCCGCATCCCACACCTTCGGGTCTGCCAGCATCAGCGGCACCAGAGTCTCGGTGCTGACCCTAGACCCTGCTACTGTCTCCAATGTCTGACGCTCGAGGTCAAACCTGTGGCAGTCGAAGAGGACGTGGCGAGCGTCCTCCACTATGCCTGTGCCACACTCGGGGCACCAGTCCTCTGTCTCGTGGCCGAAGCGCTTGAGGTAGCCGCGGAAGCAGCCATGTCCGCTCAGTGCCTGGGTAAGGTAGAAATCCACCTGGCCGTGCTTCCTTTCAACCCAGCATGCTATGCTTGGGATGAGGGTGTGGGTCCATCGGCCTTTGGGTGAGTGGTCCCAACGAGACTGCCATCTGTCTATGCTGGTCCTTCTGGCGGCGTCCTTAATTTCTGCTTTGGAGCGTGCCTCGGCTGCACTGTCCGTCATGGCATCATGGATCTCCTTCCTCTCCCTTATCAGCTCCCTGAGCGGGACTTGCCCGGCAATGACTAACGCGGCTTCGTCTGAGATTGTCCGGAACGAGCACGCGATCCTAATGGCGCACAGTCTGTACGTTGCCTCTACTCCTCGCATGTAGCTCCTCACCTTCGCGGCTTCTGCCCACACCGGAGCGGCGTAGAGCATCTGCGACGTCACGACGCTCGTCAGCAGTTTTCTCGTTGCCTGCTTTGGCCCTCTGGTGTTTAGCAGCATCCTGGATAGCGCTCCCGCGGTCCCACCGGCCTTCGTGTGGACGTATTCCAGATGCTCTTTGAAGGAAAGGCGCGTGTCGATGAGGACTCCAAGGTACTTGATGGACCTCTGCGATTCGATCGCGGTCCCACCAACCTGAACTCTGGCGGTCTCGACCACTTTACGGCTGGATATCAGGACCGCCTCCGTTTTTTGGGCCGCCAGCTCCAGCCCCGCGGCGGATAGCCACGCCTCGACGGCTTGTATGGCGACGTTGGCAAGCTCCTCCACTGCGGCAAGTTCCTTCGCTACCGCCACTATTGCGACGTCGTCAGCGAAGCCCACCAGGTTAGTGTTGGCTGGCATCGGGAGCCGTAGGACCCCGTCGTACATAGCGTTCCAGAGCAGAGGTCCCAAAACGGAGCCCTGCGGGACTCCGGCTGAGACTTCGTATGCCCTAGAGCCCTGACATGTGTCCATTGTCAGCACCCTATTGCTGAAATAGCTGCGCGCTATATTCAGTAGGTAGCCCGGGATGTTGAAGGACCTCAGTGCCTCCAGCGTCCGGGTCCAGTCGGCCGAGTTGAAGGCGTTCCTTATGTCCAGTGTCACCACCAGACAATAGGACTTGGTTCCGCCTCTCCACCTGGTCCCAGCAATGGCTTCCTCCGCCGTTTGTACGACCCTCAAGATGGCGTCCAGCGTCGACCTCCCTTTCCTGAACCCGTATTGGTTCTGGGAGAGACCGCCTGCTGCTTCGATGGCTGCGCTCAGCCTCGCACCGATCACCCTTTCGAAGACTTTTCCCATGGAGTCCAGAAGGCAGATGGGCCTGTAGGAAGAGGCCACCCCTGGCGGCTTGCCCGGCTTGGTTAATAGTAGGAGCCGTTGCCTTTTCCACCTCTCGGGGAACGTCCCCTCCTGGAGGCATTTGTTGAAAAGGCCCGCAGCTTCCCTCGGGAGTAGAAGAAGTGCCAGCTTCAACGCGCTGTTGGGGATCGCATCCGGACCCGGAGCCTTCCTAGGTATCAGGTTTCTGCCTGCCTGCAACACCTCGGCTTCCGTAACCTCGCAGATGTCGCTTGGGCTATGCTCGAACCGCAGGGAGCTAGGGATCTGCCGTCCTCGAGGAAACAGTACCCTGACTATACACTCCAGTGCCTCTGGATCTGTTGGAGCTTTGCTGCCTGCGTTCAGCCTCTTCACCACCATCCTGTACGCGCCTCCCCAGGGGTCCTCTTCGGCGGCATCACACAGCTTAAGGAAGCATTCCCTCTTGCTGTTCCTTATGGCGGTCTTCAGCTCCTTCCTCGCCGCTTTGTAGGACTCGCTGCATCGGGCCAAGCGCGGTGTGCCTCTGGCTCGCTGGAGCAGCCTTCTGGCCCGGTGGCAGGTTCTACGGAGAGCCGCGATCGCTTCGCTCCACCAGAAAACTGGATCCTTGTGCTTCCGGAACGTCCCTCTCGGTAGCATGCTCTGGTCGCAGGCGCCTTCAAGTGCGTCCGCAAATTTGGTCGCCATGTCGTTGGCTCCGTCTGCATCGTTTGCAGAGTAGCCCTCAAGGGCGCTTGCGAAGACTTGGGCCCTCAGCGTGTCCTGGCGGTACGCCTTCCCATGCCGGAACGGGGTACCTCTCGATCGGGCAAGGGTGCCCAGGGTGCATAGTATGGCCTCGTGGTCGCTGGCAGTGTATGCGTCGCTGATCCTCCATCGGGCGTGCCGGGCCAGCGAGCTGCTGGCATAGGTGAGATCGATGATCGACCCTACACCTGCCCTGCTGAAAGTTTGTTGGGACCCTTCGTTCAGAAGGACGACGTCCAGAGAGGCAAAAGCCTCCAGCACCGTGCGGCCTCTGGCGTTTGTACGGGAGGACCCCCAATCCAGGGCCCAGGCGTTGAAGTCGCCTCCGACTACGACGTTGTTCCGTCCTCGCAGATCGCAGCTCAGCTCGTCCATAATGCGGCTGAAAGTCTCCAGTGAGAGGCTGGGTGCCAGGTAGCAGCTGTATAACCATATGCCGCCTACATACCCTCGGACGAATCCGTCAGCCGACCTGGTGTCGCTCGATTGCGGCGCGTCGACGCCACAGAGCCACAGGGCCGCTTTGCCAGTAAGGTCCGTGGCCCAGTCGCTGCTGCTGCCCACCTTATGTGGTTCGCTGAGGAGTGCCACATCAGAGCCAAGCTCGCGCACCGTCTGCGTCAGGAGATCCTGTGCGGCCCTGCAGTGATTCAGGTTGAGTTGAATCAACTGCATGTCGACCTGGTTTTGCCGACCCCGCTTCGCGTGGCTGGGCAGTTTTTAGTGCCTGCCTGGTGCGTGACCTCCTTCTTTCCAGCTGCTGAGCAGATGAAGCACGCAGGCTCTTTTTTGCATTCTGCAACTTTGTGCCCTTTTTCCCCGCATTTGATGCAGCAGCCACTCCTGTCCACTATACTCTTGCAGTTCCGTGCGATATGCCCGGGTTCCAGGCATCGGTAGCACCTTGGGAGTCCATCTCTTTCCCGGATCCTACATATGGTCCAGCCGATCCTCACCTTGCCGCCTTTCAGGACCGCTTGGCCCAGGGAGAAGGGCAAGCTGACCACCGCCAGCTGGGACTCCGCGTATCCGCGGCGCAGACTGCGGACTCTTACTCGACCCTCGTCAATGTTGAATTGGCGAGTTAGGGCGGCACAGATCTCCTGCTCCGTCGCGAGGGAGTCGATGTCCCGTATCTCCAATATGACCACCTTCGAGTCTTCCGTCATTGCTCGCACAGACGCTCCATCGCCGAGGACACGTGCGATGCTGGCCTTCATGCCCTCCGCACTCTCCACGCTGTCTTTTGCAACCTCCAGCAGAAGGTTGCCGTTTGTGGTACGGCGTACCTTAGAGACGCAGCTTCCCAGGTCAGAAAGCTGGTTGTCGTGCCGTCTGGTGACCATTGCCAGAACCTCGCTGTACGACTTCCCGGGGGCCTGAACTATGACCGCGTCTGGGCGAGCGCGGCGCGCTGCTCTCGGCCTCTTGGCCACCACGCTCCATTCGCTGTCCGGGATTCCGGGGCTCTTGGGCTGCCTCGTGGCGCTGGTCGTCGCCACATCTCCGCGTGGCCGCAACGGGGCCTTTTTAAGGGTCCTCTTGGTTGCGATAGCTCCTTTTCGCTGCCTTGGGCGCGTAGGTGGGGTTCCCGGCTCCCCCAATGGGCCTTCGGCCACGGATGGCTGGCTAAGTCTGCGCCACGGTTCGGTTTGCGCTGCGGCATCTTTCCTCCAGACGGTCGTTGTCTGCTGCTCCTTGTCTGCGCTCCGCGTGCTCTGTGAGCATTTCGGGCACAGGCCTTGGGCGTCGGAGCCTTCCTGCGGCGCGCACCTACCCGCTGCAGCCTCTTGGCTCGATTGGATGATGTTCGAGTGCAGCTCCTTCATGCGCACGAACAGTGCTCTGGTGGCCATGTTGATGTGACGCGTATTTTTGTCCATCATCCTGGTCTGAACCTCATCAAGGATTTTTCCCAGCTCCGAGAGGTTCTCAAGGCAGGTGGCCTCCTGGTGGGCCTTGCTCTTCTTGGGCGGCGTTTGCCTCTGGGAACTTCCCGGGCTGGCTGCGTCCCGAACCCTCTTGGGGGTCTCCCTAGAGTCAAGGTCCTGACTCTGCGCCGCTGCTGCTGGAGATGGAGATGGCTCGGGTGCCGGCGATCGGGCGAGCATGCTACCCTTCCTGAAGGCGAGCTTTTCCTCCTCCTCCATTCCGTTGATTACTTTAGTATTTGAATTTCGAACTTGAAATCTCCCTCCGTTGGCGCGCAAATCCAGCTCTTTCCAACACTCTGGCAGCCCTGGGTAGATCGGGGCTGTCTGGCAACACCGTCCGTGTGGCAACTCTACGCGATCACCTGTCTGGCGGCGCAGTCAGCTGCTGTGTGTGAAGCTCCGGACGAGAAGAAGAAGAAAGAAGAAAAGTTGAGTGAGAATTCCTTTTTTCCCCTCCACCAACAATGTGGAAAGTGGAAGTGGAAGGCGCCAAAACAAGGGTTCACCCCCCCTTCCCCTGCTGGATGGAGCGCACTGATTGTGCCCCTGCAACAGAGCGGGATGCCGGTGGGGCCGGTTTTTATACGCAGTACGTACCGGTGCGACAGCAACCTGCTCTCAACAGTTTTTCTTCCAGGTAACACGCGCAGCGCGGATGCTGAAAACGGAAAATCAGGAGCCCGTGATTCGAAACAACCGCACTTGAAAACGCTCAACTCTGAACTCCCCCAGTGTGTGTGTGTGTGTGTGTGTGTGTGTGTGTGTGTGTGTGTGTGTGTGTGTGTGTGTGTGTGTGTGTGTGTGTGTGTGCGTCTCTGGAAAATGGTGCGCCTTTTTAACCTTAAACAGCCGCAGGCTGGCAAATCTTTTTCATAAATTCGCACGTCGGTTTTGGCCAAGGCCCACGGACCAGAAACAGAAGCAGAACCAGGACGACGACGCCTGCGTCTGCCGACCACAAAAAACATTACAACTTGCCAAGAAAAAACCAAAGCCGAATCCTGAAATACACTCGAAAATTCGATCTGGCAGTTGTTGGGCTTTTTAGGATTATCTTTTCAATACATTTCTCTGAAACGAGTTTTTGTTAGAAAAACAGAAATGAAAATCTGCCTCAAAATCGTCATACCCCCCTCTAAAAGGGTATAATGACAAGGATAAGTATGTATACATGGTGGGTAAAAAGAGGCCATGGGATAAGGGTAAGGCTTGAATCTCGGTTAAATTCAAACAGACGCTGCAATTAAGCATAATGTCCTTGCAGGGATAACGTTAAGTGGCGCGTTAAATTACATTAATCATTGAAGGGATTTTAACATGCAACGATGAAGCGAAGGCTGCTGCACCTGAAGGTCCTTTCCACCAGCCTCAACCATCCCACCATCCAATACTTTTTCTCAGCTTTTTCCATTTTTTCGGGGAGGTGGAATGGCGTTCGTCCTGGCCCCAACTGTAGCTTATTTTGTGGCTTCCTTCTTGACCTTTTTTCGACGTGTTTGTTTTGCCAGTAAAAAGGAAACGAAAGGAAAGGAGAAATAAAGGTAATTTTTAAGAACCACAAAAGGTTTGTTGTGGTTCCAGGGACATGGAGAAGAAATGTTACTTAACTAATGAAATTACATTTATTTTTAGTTCTTGGTCACAACAAAGCAATTGCGGGATTTGTTTTTTTTTTTGTTAATCAATAAACGAAATGATTTTTAAGATATTTTCTGTCTGTAGAGCAGAAAATAGCTTGAGATTTTCATTGGGAAATTACAGCACACAAATAATAATGGCCAAACACTATTCTGTATTGTCTGTGAACCCAGACAAAAGCTCAGATTAGTTGTGTCTACATATCTGTGTATCTGAATTGTAGGTTTGGTCGGTGAAAATTCCATTTGTAAACAATTTTCCATTCAACATTCGGCATTCTTCAATGCCACAAATTGGCCCTCGAATGTAGGCGCTGCGCCAGTACTCAATTCTGCATTTCCGTACTTTTCCAATTGCTTTTCTATCACACACACACACACACACACACACAAACACACTCAGAGAAGCACTCACATACATAACATAATCAAATTTCTGCAGGCAAGCAACAATTTCAGTTTCAGCCGCGCCTTCTTCACATTTTTTGTGGCCCTGATTCGGTGGCATCATAGGAGAGGAAGATGCGAGGGCGATGAGGGGCAGAGATGGCACAACACCCATCCCCAAACTCAGTTAGGAGTCAGTGCAGCCCTTGAACTATGCAAATTTTTGATACTCTTGTAGCGCTGGCTCTGGGTCTGTTTTCGTGAGTCTGTGTCTGTTTTCATGCAAATGACTCCTTCAGATGTATCAGACTATACACAAAACTCAGCTTTTTGGTGCACGAAACTATTTCATTCGGAATAGGAACTACTATACGAGAATTACTGTATGTCCACTGTTTTGTTTCCACCGACATTTCCGACGATACAATAGATCAATCTGCAAGGGTATCTAAAGCTTCGACCCCTAAAGCTATTCTTTCCTCCCTTCTGGTTTGAAATGAAACCAGGGTCGGGCAGAACAAAACGAGGGGGGGAAACACTGGAAGAGCGCATACCACGACGTATGATGCAAACTTTAATTGCCGCGAATCCTGCAGCTGGAATGGGTTTTTGGCGGCCCCAACTTGATAATTGATTGCTCAAAGTATGGCAAGAAACGAGTGCCACCAGGCTGGAGAAGGGGCACAACGAAAAGCGAAAGCAAAGAGGAAAAGCCAGGGGGAAAAGCGTGTGAGGGCCTTGATCAAATGGCATAACCGCAGCGATTTCCCTTTGCCTTTGCCGACTTATGAGTTCTGCTCGTCAAGCAGAAATTTTTCCAGCACCCAGCAGTAGAAGCAAACAAATTTCAATTAGCGGCCCCAAAGGGCTAAGGGGGGTCCACTCAGAGCCCCACTGAAAATGAAAAACCAAAAAACAAATGGGGAATTTTTTGCCAACACTTTTGCTGACATTCGCAATTTTTGAGCCGCGAAAAACATAATTTTTGGAATTATTCAAAGAGGGGCGGATAGGGGTGATGATAACAAGGGGATTACAAGGGGGAATAACAGGTCAAACTACAGAGGGAGGGTAATAGAGGGTTATGGTAAACATTGTCCAAACAAAATGGAAAATCAAAATCGTATATTGGCCAAATTAAATGCTGAAATATTTGACAGAGATCCATTTGGAATAATAACCATAAAAATTCCACAAAAATAAATAAATATTTATGAGTCAACAAAAGTTACGCAAACAAGATTTAATTGATATCACTCGCAGTCGAGACAAATATATAACTTTTGTCTAGAAAATCGCCAATTAAAATACAAAGAAAATGGCAGTCATAAATGGTTTAAGGCAGACGATTGTTGATCAAACTAAGGAATTTCATAAGCTGTTTTCAGACATCTCTCCGGCAATCCCAAACATACTTCTCTGACAGTTATATTATGTTACTGTATACCAATTAATTAATTTTTGCATCTCCTTTACAGAATATAATGTTCATTCTGAATATTTAATAAGCCACTCTCCATTAGGCTATGGATATTTTCCAGGGAAACTTCAAACAGAAATCTGTATTTTAGGCTTATTTCGAGGAACTTTTTTCAGTCTGTTGAATGTTGAATGCAAATGCAAAACTCCAGTTGCGCCATCAACCAAGGGGGCTTTTAAATGCAGTTTACTCGGGCCTAGTCTACCCCTAACCCTCTTTTCCAACTCCAGAATTCATATATATACAATACTTATATATATGTGAACTTCATTTGTTGTTGCTGACTTTGGCTTAGAGGAGAAAACATTTGCGGGACTCCACTTGATGATGTTGTCGTCGTCGTTGTTGACAAGGCATAAAGTGCAGCATGTTATAGGAAAAAACCAGGTGGTTCCGAGGTCTCGCAGCAGTCCAGTGTTTGCACAAACTCACATTCGCCCAGAGAACGAGACGCAGAGAAAGGAGGGAGAGTTTTTATTATGTCACACAAGTGCTTCCTATGACACACAACTTCCTGGTTGAGGTTGAGAGCTCGGCAAAAAAGAACAAATGGAAAAAAAGACAGGTAGAAAACGAGAAAGACCAGTACCGAAGCGTTAGTTACCCTTTGATGAAGGGTACCTACATGGTCTACATACAAATGGTCCATCCCATCTAGTAAGACATGCAGTACATTCCCATATTCTTTCTTGACTTCGCCAACACCTGCTACAAATCGTAAGATCCTCTTAACGGATAGGTCCTTTGAGCATTGTGCACTTGAGCAACTGCCGAGCAATAAGACAGTCCATTATGAATGGCCCCGCACATGGACAGGCGGAGAGCCAGAGATGCAGGCAGCCCGCAAAGTTTCGGCTTCTTGCCGGTGGGGAACTGGTTCCTGATATGAATTTTTCGGTTCATTTGACAAAAGTTTGATGAAGACTTAAAGTTCTTGCTCGGTTATCTGCTGCCTGCCCTGCTGCCGCCCCCAAGCCCCTTTCCATCACACACGAGCAGTTGGAGAGCCTTCGAGCGACTGTTCAAGCCGTTACACACGGCGTACACTTAATGCCCGACTCGAGTGACTACAAGAGTATTGATCACACTCTCTCCCCTTGCCCATTCCCCCTTCCCTCTTTCCATACAATCAGAGACCACACGAAACTCGAAAATTCGAAACATTTCCCACTGCTACTTACATAATTGCAAGCCGTAGTGCCCCCCCTTCTGCCATTCCGAAGCCAGAACTGTTGCCGAATTCCCGCCGAACTTCATCGAAATTCCAATTAGCGCTTACACTCAATTACAAGGCGCAAGTCGGTTGCCTCAGACTCCGTCTCCGCCTCCGCCTCCGTCTCAGTCTGCCACGCCCAAATACCAACCACCAACTCCTACTCGTACTCCATCAAAAGCAAATAGCAATACAAATAGAAACAAGTTGGGAATTGTCGGTGGATATTCGAACCCAAGGCTATCCTCTAGTCTGGTGATCCCTAGAGCCTGTTACATAAAATCTCACAATTACAATATACCCCACAAGTACCGCTTAGACAGCACCACAAAACACAGCGAAAACTCGTACTCGTACACTGAATTTTCTACGAAAATTGCCCAAGATTCGAGTGGAAAGAGTTTTTGCAAATAGAAATAGGAAATGGAAAGTTTCTGGGGTTGTAAGGGGAATGTAACTTTTGAGAGATGGAAGCCACAAGAAACCCTGGGAAACCCTTTTGTTGCCTTCTCGTTAAAGGCCTTGGCAGCAATTTAAAGTCAAGCCAAATATAGAAAACGTTATTAAGTTGCGGCGAGAAGGCAAGGGGGTGGAAAGGAAGGCGGCGGCGGCGGCTAGATGAAAACTGCGGCAAATATTGACAGAGGAAAAGTGGAAGGGCTGGATCCCGGCTGCGGCCCAGTCCCAAATCTGCCGCAGGATATTGAAATTCATGTGTAATTATAAGTACAAACATGCCCATCCACTGCAGGGTAGACATACAATAACCGGGCTGCAATCCTTTCAGCCTCGTCCTCATCCTCGTCAGTGGCTTCCCCTTATCCTTTTGTAATTGTTGCTCCGCCTGCCACACACAATATGAAACAATTCTAGCAGCAAATGTGACGCTCACAGCAGCCACAGTCATACGTATGTACAGATTCATCAGCCAATGGGGAAATTAAGCGAAAAGGCTGTGGATCCAGCACCAGGTCCTTGGAAGGCATCCATCCACCAAAACCTTCATATGATTTCATCAACGTAATACGATAAATTTCATAATGAAACGATGCGTAATTGCCACAAGCCAGCCTCCGTTCGGGCTCCTCTCTCTGACTTGGATAAGTACACACAGGGATATCTATATCTGCATATGTACATGTGTGTACATACATATGTATGTGTGGTATGTGTATGTAAGTTGGGTAAATGTGTGGGCAGGTTGATTTTACAAGTTCTGACTTATTTAAAGAGGCTTTCAGGCCTCTTACGATTTGCTTAAAGTTCAAGATATGCATTAAGTAAAAACCAAAGTTTAAATAGAGCTGCAAATGGAAACATTCTTTAACCAATTGGCTGGGAAACTTTGTAGGCATATTTTTCAGCACACTCGTACTGATTGCCATCATGGGATAACATTCCATAGCCATTTCTTACTTAAAAATATTTTTTCTTTACACTCTTCGAATGTCTTGTGTATCTATCCATCTGTTATCCTTCAAGGCTAACAATCCAGCTATCAATTCATCTATCTATCTATCAATCGTTCATCCATTTACATCTGCAATCACTAAATCAACCAACTGATTGCCCCCTCCACATCGTTTATCACCTATTCCGCACTTTTCCCTCCAATCAATTCAAATTTCATGCAGTTTGCCCTTCCCCTTCTTTGCAAAAAACAAAAGCGGTCCATAAAAAAAAACATTGCCGCAATTGAAAATGTATGACACCTCAAGCACATTGAATGCATTTGCATTGAATGCACGAAATGCACAATTTATTTTTAATATTTTTAAAAACCATCTATGTGAAAAAATGTGCAGTAGCACAGCCCCGAACCCCTCAATCCCGCCACTTTTGCCACCAGCTGCCTCAAACAATTTCCCTTTTCCAGCTTTTCATTTTTGCCTTTCAGTGTGTCACATTTTTTATGCGTGCGAGTGAAATTTGTTTTCATTTCATTTAAAACAGAAATATTTACCCTCTTTTTTT